AAAATTCGTCTCTACAAAATTTGATATGGGAAATAAAATCTTATGGTAATAATATTACTATTTCAGGCGATACACTTTGAAATACTGTACAGAAATGAAGTGAAGGTAAGGAGTATTATATATATTTATATATATTCTACACTTCTGTACTTAGCGCAGATTGACAGATAAAGAATTTACCGGAGTTGTCAGCAAGTTAATAGCTTCCGTTTTTAGAGATCACATTGATGATTCTTTTTTTCGTTCTGATGATTTATTACATTTTAAGCAATCAAATTCAGTGAATAAATCACTTTTTTAAGTATTCTCACGACTGCATATTCAGATCTCTTAATTCCTGTCGAAGTAATGTTAATGTTCAACCAGTCTGGAGGGATGTATTCATTTTCGTACTTATAAAAACTAAAATGTTAGCCTGTAATGTTAGTTTACCTCAAAAACTGATTGAATTAAGAAGATACTGATGAATGCATACCGGAAAATCAAATCACTAGTGCCATCCGTCTTTCTAGACTTTAATGCGTCTTGCTTACAATGAACTTGTTTTAACAGCAAGCGGAATCAAGGATGCGCATTTCTCCCCATTTTGCAACTTGTCATCTGGGAGTGAATGTATTCTCACTAAGCTGTGGTGTTCCCGCTGAGACTTGAGCCTAGCACCCATCATTTCAAACCCCAAAGCGTTACTCACTAGACCACTTGGGCTCTGTCAACAAGTAATAATTGACACTTGTTGCACAAAATGTAGCTTAGATGGTCTAGTGGATAAAGTCGGGATGTTCGAAACTATAGGTGTTGGGTTGGAGATTGCAGTCACATCATCCAGGTGACGAATCGCAAATTGTACGGAATGCATATCCTGGATTCCACTGCTGGCAACCATCCACCAAATGAAATCATGTTAGCCAGCAGGAATAGTCGTCGCAGTGTCTGTACTTAGGCGCTTTTTTGTTTTGAACAGAGACCGAACATTTCAATAAAATTTAATCAATCAACGGGAAATTAAGTTAAACAAGTAATTCTTGACAGGAAGTTGGAAAATTCTGATTCATCTGAAATGGCGATAGGGCCGGTTGTCCAGTTTTATGTGGTCTTACCTTGCTCTGTTGCATTAGTTGGTTAAAGATAATCGTCAAGAAGCCTTGCATCTATGTTTCGCGCTTGTTGGCACTCGTCGACAGGGTGTGTCTGGAATCTTGAAGTATCTCATGTCCATTCTGAGATTCGAGCCCGTGTCACGCAGTTTTGCAAACAGAGGTGTTACTACTGAGCTATTCGGTTTGGCGATTGACCTTCAGTGGGACTGTGTTGGATACCTTGATTGGAGTTCCTTCACTAATCTCTTTCAAGGTTGCAGATACGCTTCGCTGACTGGTAAGTGTCAGAAAGCACGAAACCTAAATCGAAGGCTTCTTGCCGGTTGCCTCCAACCATCTCGTAACAATAATTTCAGAGTACACGGTGATGGCTAGTCACCTAGCATGGTGGCAAATTCGACTGATAGAATTCAGTCTGCACTAAACCAAGGACTAGACACTTAGACATTAGTTACCGGTTTCCTAATGTCCAATCAAAGTTGCCCTGTTCTGTCTATGATGAGGTATATTTCAGCGTCATATTGTATGACTCAGAATTAATGTACGAGTATTAGTCATTTTCAACCACCTGACTGGATGTCATTACAAATACTCATTCCTTGATCCACTGACTGATATTCAATTGCTTAAAGGCTGTGAGCCACTGGTTTTCACATACCGACTACTACTTCTAGAATAATCAGTAACTTCTGCAATCAATAATAATACTGATTCTCGCTTTGCACCTTCTTTCTCTCTTTTCCCTTCTAACCTCTCAATAAGGCCTGTTAGGGATATAATACAAATAATTGTTTATTGATAATAGGTACTTGTCTTTCACTCCTTTTCAATTAACAATTAACAGTTCAAGCGTAAGTGCAAAACTATGGATTACATATACTTACTTACCATGTTTATTTACGTGATGATTAGTAGGGTTATGAATATAGTCTAATCAATCAGATTGTGTAATTCTGTCATCCTACAAAAATGCTTATACTTAGAAATTTTCCCTTCATTTTCTGACTTGTGTACAAATAGTTAATGTTAATGAGTGTCCCATACATCCGGCTCCACTGATTGGTCTAATCAAAGCGAGAACGAACATATTTACCGGATAAAAATAGCTCATGATTTCCACTTTTCGGCCACTTCTCATCTGTTAACAGCCTACAACAAAATGAAATAAGTTATTATAAATCCTAAGAAGATTAGGTTGAAACTGTTTGATTGATAGCAATGGCTTCTGCGAAGAGAAGTAGCTAGCGTTTCCCTCTACATGTGTGTCTGTCCAGTGTCAATCAGATGTTTATCGTTAGCACTTAGAAACATTTTCTTACTTTTTATATGAAGATTGTTGGGGATATGCTCAATGGATTCTTTCATCTCACTTCTTCCTGCATACTTGTTACAGTTTGTGTGGAGGTCGAAAGCACTCAGAATGAAAAATAACATCCGGATTTTCAACTCCAATGTGAAGTCAGTGCTACATCATGGGTCAGAGACTTAGCGCGTCACGTAGGGCACTTCGAACAAACTACATGTCTTCATCAATAGCTGTCTTTGCGCAATACTCAAGATCAGATGGCCAGAAAGGATCACCAACGAACCAAGCGAACCAACCCATCAGAAACTGATTGTGCAACAAATAAGGAGGAAAAAATGGAGGTGGATTGGCCATACTCTGAAGAAACCATCAAGTGACATCACTAGACAAGCCATCTCTCGAGTGGAACCCGAAAGGGAAGTGGCGAGTTGGCCGTCAGTGTGATGGTGACTTGGAGGTAGCCATGTGAAGAGGAGATGAAAACATGTGGGCAGACTTGGAGCCAGGTGAAATCTGTAGCAGAGAACCGAACGCAATGGAGACGTGTGGCTGAAGCCCTATGTTCCTTTAGGAATTAAAGGAAATGATAATAATAATACTTGCTACAGCATGTAAATGCGTTTGGTGTTGATGTTAGTAGGATACCTATCTACTTTGGAATGCATTCATGAACATTTCATGTGATCAAGAGTAATCAATCTAGCGACAGAAAATGCTCTTTTCAATGTACCCCTTGATTCTTTTTTATAATTCTGATTGATGCTTCTTTCTTTTTGTATACCAGACGAATAAATGATAATAATTAATTATTCCTTTACGTTCCCAGTGGAACATAGGGCTTCAAGCTAGAGACTTGAAGTTTCGGTAACAGTGGCGTTTCATTTTTACGGGATGCGGTTGCTAGCTTCATACCCAACTTTCCCTCTTTACCAGTCTTGTTAGTGGGGTAAAGGAGTGAGTCGGCTGGGAATTGAACCCGGACCACCTGCGTGGTTGGCAAGCATTCTACCACTGTGCCACCGACGCGAATAAAAACAGGTTTTTTCTCAACTGTTACAGGCTTCGATGTAGACATTTCTTCTCCTCAGCATTTCATTATGGACATCTTGGCAAATCCATTTTCCATTAGATTCTTTTGAATAATTATGATTTCTTGATCAATCCTATTTTCTTAATATAACTCCCTCACTATAGTGAATAACGTTTTGACTAGTTGAGCAAAAACTGTGATAGTTCAAGTATTGATCTATTGATCCATCTCCCGACCGATAGCTGGTACCTTGACGTTGTGGTCGGGCTTGCACATTGCGATGACCCAACAAGCTACACTGGCTGGAATCAATGTCCCTGAAAGGTCCTACCATGCCAGGAAGTTTGTTAGGATAGCGATTAGACTAAAAGCAGTTACCGGCATTGTGTAAGAATCTTTCTTACACTATGCTGAGGGCGAAGTCGTACTGCTGGGGAACAGGGGTGTAACAGCAGTGAATGACCAGCGTGCCAGCTATCCTGTCTCTCCACTCCGGAGAGAGGGTGTTAGAAAAGGTCGACCCCAAAAATTGTACATCTCGACTTACCCTACGGTGGTCCGTAACCGGCGGTAAGTTTACTAATACGGAACCAATCCCAGAAACTAGTTTATACAGGCCGTGTGTGACCGGCCTCAAGCAGTTGTCCCCTGGGCTCTGGGGTCAAGCAACACTAACCCTCTCTCTGTACCCGAAGAATCAATCAACTTTCATGGTGTGGGCAGCCGGGAAGTAACAACCACCCACACACTTCCAAAAGCACAGACTGATTGATCTATCCATGTTCCTCTCTATAGATTTTCTTTTTTCTCAACGGTTCCATCATTTCTTCCTCTTATACTAAGTTCCAGAAAGTTGAACTGATTGTTGCGCTCATAATCCATTTTGCCAACCTTATGTGAGGATGAGTTACACTGAGTTTTTCAAACATCATTGACGCATCGTGTCCATATTACTGCAAACAAAAAATGTATCGTCAACATACCTGCAGTAGTAGTATATGGTCTTCTGTATTTCTAATTTCATTCTTGTCCATTCAGCGTGGGTCATAAATGTTTCCACAAGAACAGCCGTACTCCTTCAATTTTCCTAGTACCGTTGGTTATTGAGCAACCATTGTCTCAACTTGTTTTCAGGAAGAGGAAGTAATTCACACTGGCTTCCATATGAGTTTCAATGTTCCTGCCGGATGTATGGCTGATAAACAAACATCATGTGACACTATGAGTTTGTCTGTATTGGCAGTCTCCAAAATTGCCCTCACTACATTCTACGTAGTTAACTTATCTGAATATCTAGTGTGTTGAAAAGACAATATTTCGCATCAGTCATTCATATAACAGTTCAGCCAAGTCGCTTCAATGGTTGAAAGGATATTAGAGCCTAGTCATTTAATAGTTTTTTAGCTACTTGGGTAGAACTTTAAACCGATAATCTGGTGGTCGAAATTTTCGCCTTGTTTCAAGTTATTGCTCTGTCAGATTATTATAATTTTTTCTTAATTTATATTATTATTGATTATTACAATTACATCTCGTGTCTTTTAAAACTTCATTTTCACATTTATAGCTGACTTTATTCAACCCGACTGGTCTAGTGGTCAAAATGTTTGTCATTGTATATGATTTAGATGATATGCCACCGAATTGTCAAACTTTTTTAAGACAACGCACAGTCTATATGCCAATACAACAGAATCAATATCCAATGTCGGAGCCAACCACTGTCTCGTCTCTTTCTCCGACTTCTTTATCAACCCCATCCACTTGTCAACATCATCATAATTCATATAATCGTGCGTATAATCCAGTTCGTCATCAGTATACACGTACGTCTACGGATTATTTAACTCCTGCTACACATCCTACTACTACAACTACTGCTGCTTCCACATTTGCGAATGCTTCAACTGATCTTTTCTGGAGTAGTACACCGCATAAATCGTTAACTGAACCAAATACCCCGTTGTTTTCTTCATCACCTTCATGTTCCTGCTCATCAATATCATCTGTGTGCTCATCAAGTCCGTATGGTTCACAAAGTGCTGTGTACCCGGGTACACCGAATTCACGTAATGAACTACCTGCATATCTGCGTTACCTCGTTCATCTAAGGTGAGATTTCTAAAAAAAACTTTTGTGTATATTGTATCGGGGCAGTATTGAATGTCGAGGGTTCTTCTTTTGAATGTATTATAATACCCAGTAGGAATCGTATCATATTTTCGCCATAGTGTTATTTCACTGTCCATTTTTTAAAAGTTTGATAACGCATTGATATCAGTTGGATAACCATTGAAAACCAGGAAGTACGTGAAATTTGTTTCGTCCTATTCTAGAACTTTTCATCAGTGCGTATCCACTAGGGTTTCCACCCAAGACCAACCTGTTACAAGTCAACCTCGTAGACCATTCAGCCACTGACAGTCGATTCAAGGACCCATGAATTCTTTAGCACGACCGCCAGCCAAAGTCATCGGCGAGTATTTGTCCTCACACCCGATCTGATTTTGTTTACTATCATAAAAGCCGACTCAATGAATTTCAGCATAGAAATTTGTACAAAAGTGCTTCCGTCCAAGTTGTCAGACTTGATATAGTACACAAAAGTTGAGAAAAAAAGAGAAAGAAATCAAAAGAGCTATACTCAGTAGAAGGAATAGGTATATCATTAGAAAGGAGATAAGAATTGAATAGATCTAGGAGATTACAAAGAGTGAATACATCTGAGTCACTGACAGAGGTCCTTGGTCATTGGATCATAGAATTCAAAGGTCTCCAACCAGGTAGTCTACACCATCCTGTAGAGAGCTCAAAACAACTGTCGATGACTTCATGGATTGATGCTATGCTTCGATCTGACCACTCGTAACTCTTTCCCAACCTGATTTTTTGTCAGCCATCATTACTCGTCGTGGAAAGCGATGGTTTGTCATGAGTAGCATATGTGTCCTAACCGTCGCAATCGGTGCAACTTCACAACCCCATCGGTTGACTTGCTCTCGTCACCTAGAAGTTTACGACTAACCACCAGCATGTTATACGACTTAACGCGAGAGATAGCAAATACCTGTGGTCAAACACAGATAGCTTCTTTAGGTCTTCCATGGATATATTTCACGTCCATGAAGACGAAACCAAGTATAAGATCTCAAAGATAGAAACAATGTAAAGCGTGAAACTTGTGAATTACTATATATATAAATGACTCCGCTGTCTCTCCAAATACCGAACAAGAACAGTGATCACCAATCCTGTAATATTATCTTTGATGGTATTAGATTAGGCGTATTTGCAACCTTGAAGGAACTCATGTCCCTTGCTGACGAGTGCCAACTAGCACGAAAACTAGGTCCAAGGCTTCCTGCTGATCGCCTACAACTATCTAATACTATCAAATCAATGTGCACCGTGATGGCGAGCTAGCTTGAGTGGTGGTCACATTACAACCTGACTGATAGAATTCAGTCTACACTAATCAGAGGACTAGACGCATCACACTAGTTACACTAGTGTCAAATCAAAATATTATCTTTATAATTGTTTTTGATATCATTCGATAAAATTAGATGCAATAATGTACTGGATGCTGAAAATTCCACACTGTAACATTGGTACTGTTTTGTAATAAAGCACATTGTTATTATAATAATAACAATGTGTTATTGATAGAGCAAACATGCATCTTTTGATCTATAGCCTGATATCATGCCTACACCAGAAATGATGTAAGTTGTCAAATACCACATCAGACTTTTGTATCCATGCTAAGATTTTATTATCTACCAGTCAACTATGACTGATTTGGCTTCCAAAATAAGTGAGGTGGTGAATACGCTGAACCGCCTTATTCCCTATCTTTAAAGTAGGCAAGAAACGCACTTTTGTGTTGTTATGAATATCCTGATTCACGATTTTCGTTTGTTATCTGTCTTAGTTCCTAAGACTACATCGCTTTATAGCGTTTGTAGCGTGTCAGGAATTTAAAATTACTGAGACTCAGTTCATACATTCAAAGTACCTTTCAAGAAGAAGAAATACATAATAGAAGGAATGCAGTTCTGCACTGTGGAGCTATCATTGTAGGCATTTTTACTTGTGGTTATAGTTACAAGTTATGAGCTGACTCCATGGATCTGCAGTCTCCTAACTCTTGCCACTCTCGGTTTAGTAATGTATCAGCTTTCCCTGTGTGTGGAGTGTAACCTACAGTCATCAAATCCCTAACCTCACTACGTCTGTTGTCCAGTGGTAGAATACTCCCCAGTCACTTGTAGGGGCCGGTCTTGGTCTTTACCTTAACCCCTCGTCTAGTTTTCTAGTTGGTAGTCAACGGGGACCAGCAATCCACTCCCACTAAAATAGTACTACCGTCTTATATTCTACTCAGAATACAAGGGATGAAGTTAGAAGTTAGAATTCATCAGTCATTAAGTTGAATTCCAGTGGCTAAATAGTCTACGAGTTTATCTAGTAACCGGAAGGTCTTAGCTTCGAAAAGCATTATATGCGTAATGCCGATGAGTTCCTAACTAGGCGTAAACAGCTGTCGAGTACTTCCTGCTTTGTTTTAATTAGCTCTCTGACTGATATAAATCCATGCATGGATTGAACTTGAAACAAATCTAATGTCTAGTGGTAAGAGAATTAATGCTATTATCGTTTTGAGTAACTCGGTAGTTTAATATTGCACCGAAGTATGTGATAAAGTTAATGCCTCACGTCTTATTTTCAAAATTGCTTTGGTTACACGAGTTTATCACGTTTGAGCAGATTTGTTCATACAATCTTCCGATTCTCTTTATACCTCTCTCTCTCTCTCTGACACACACGTACACGGAAACGCAAACATTCTCTTATACATACAAATGAATATACACATTCTTTGATGAACGTTTAATCTACTTATATAGATCTTTCAACCGGGATTTATGTGGTATTTGTTTTTCTTGTATTATACTAACGTTTCAATGTTTGTTTGTGATTATACAGTTCACATAAATTATTCGTTAAAAACCATCAGAATGGTTTATGTATATATAATACTTATTAATCTAATATGTAAACGTTTCATCATGATGTGTGTACGTATGTGTGTGTGTGTGAAGTGTTAATCGGATTATTATCATTATCATCATTATTATTAGGTGATCGAAGAAAATCGCTCACTAATCCTTTTTTGACTTGGTTGTCTAGCTTTTTATTTTGTACTACTCAACTCAGCAAAGTGTATCCTGTGATCTGTTTGTGTGGATTATGATTCTATGATAATTGATAGACATGTTGAATTTCCTCTGACCTCTGATAGTAGACAGTGAATTTTGTGATTCATGAATAGCGGTGATGTGAATAGGACTTGTAGTATAAATTGGTAATGCATCGCAATATATTGTGGAACTTTTTAATGAATAAAAGGTGGAGATGTGTTTCACTAGGCTTATAAACCTCACGTCTTTCTGTCGATTGGCGGTGGATTTGAATCCCACCATAACGAGTGGGCAGTATTATCAGCATGCAGGCAATAAGTCAAGAAAAGTGAGAGTAAATGAATATATATATATATATCTTATATAATAAGTTATTTATACCATATAAGTATTTAAATAGCGAATAGATTTCATTTTAAGTAGCCATGACCAAGCGTTTCAAAGTGTTTCGTCTAGAGAAGATAACTTACTGTCTCTGAACTGATGTCGTGTCTTCATATAGCTATATTATTGCTGCTCAGCTGTTTCCCTCTTTAATTATATTTCTATCTACGACATGTTTTTATAAGTCAAACTGTTGAGTACTAGCTCATGGTTACAACAAGAAACCTTTCTTTTTATACCTTTATAATAAAACATCCACAACTAAGATATCGAATTATCAAGTTAGAATCGTGTGTCTACGCACTGATGATAACCTGTGAATATGTTGAAAACTGCCTGGGAAGACTGGCAATATTAAGGTAGGTAGTCACCTGGATTTCTAGTGGGAAGTCATGACCAGTGGGGTACACCAGGTCGGGTGTGAGGACAAATACTCGCTGACAATATTCGCTAGTGGTCGTGTCATATTGTGCATTGGCAGAAGTTAGAATTCATGGACCAATGGATCGAATCCTAATGGCTTAGTAGTCTACTATCTTGCCTTGTAACCAGAAGGTCTTGGATTCGAACCCTTATGGTGGGTGTATACTGCTGAAGGGTCCCAGACTAGGCTGATGAGACAGCTCCCAAGTACTCCCAAGTGGGCTTCCAATCGTCCTCTAACCTATGTCAGCTCATGGTGAAATCCTCTAACCAACCGATCAAACAAAAAATCCCTACCAACCAATGCTTGAAAACTAAATAGCATCACTTCATTTTCAGTATAGTAAATGTCCAATTCGCTTCATCCATTCAGATTGATGCTTACAATTGATGACCAATATTGTTGAGTATTATTTGTTTCCATGGGTGTCAGTGGTTCTGCATCTGTGGAATGTTCACTAGTTACACCGGGGGTCGTCTGGGTTCGACGCCCTACCGAAACACTCCTAAATCTCTCTTAGTTTACTGACTAATATTATTATTATTCTCTTTGGCTCCGATTGGAACATAGCACTTCATCACCACATCTCCATTTCATCATGTTTTCTGCAGTCCTGTTTAGTTGATCGCATGATTGCCCTTAAACTTTCGTCTCCTCTTCACACGATCTTCTCCATGTCACCCTTGGACTCGCGTCCATCCCGTCGTTTCACATTTGGGTTCCACTCGAGGACCTGTCTGGCGTGTGATACGAGTCAACAGCCTGTTCGGCGTGCATCCATTCCATCTTCATTTTCTTTCGAAAAATTGTTGACTAATAGGCTCGTGACTGGTCCGTTCCCAGAGTTACTGTTTTATAACTTTGTTTGGCCATCTGATCATCATTATAGAGCCAGTGAAGGCGGTTGTTGATGAACGTCTGCAGTAGACAGTTGAGAATGGTTTCGGTGACGAACCAAGTCTTTGAATCATATAGAAACACTGATTTGACATTAGTGTTCAGAATCCGGACTTAGTTCCTTATGCTGCATGCAATAGATTTCCACACTTATTCCAGGTGAATGTAAGGCACTATTACTTTTCCGATCCTGATTGACTTTCATAGCCTAACCCATGCCGTCTATAGTTGAAACGATGCAGCCTAGATAAGTGAAAGTAGTGACTTGCTTCAAATTTCTACCGTCGGTAGGGATTGAAACTTGGTATTGTCGCTGTTAGTTGGTTTCCTTTATCACCTCTTTCTTATCTATGTTCATTTGGGTTCCTTTTTTTCTCTGCTTATTCTATCAACTTGCTGGTGATTTTCCCCTGTGGACCTTCCAGTTTAGATGGCGATAGATATAAGTCATCTATGATGTGTACCGACCTTCTAGAGTTTTCTTACCGGTCCAACTTGTACCTGTCTTCTCGAATTCCACTGTCTCTTGTAAGATCCAGTCCACGACAATCAAGTATATCATCGATGGTAGTAGGCAAGCTGCACTGTATTACTCCCCGCTTCACTTTAAATGATTTGCTGAGTTTTCTGTTTCGACTCTCCTGGCATATTTTGAATTTAACATGTATACTGAACGTATTAGCGTACTTGGTATTTCAAATTTCAGTACAGTGTCTTCTGTTTCTGCTTATTCATCTGAAAACATTATGTGATGTCGTTCATTGAGATGTTAAGCATAAAATTTATGCATAAATATATTATTATTAATCCACATAGTAAGATGGAATCCCAGCAGAAGCATTGAAAATGGACCCAGAGACAACAGTGGACTTGATGACGTCATTCCTGGAGGTGTGGAAAGAGGGCAAAGTGCCCGAGGATTGGAAGAAAGGCTACTTTTTCAAACTACCAAAGAAAGGAGACTTAAGTCAATGCAAAACCTGGCGCGAAATTATGCTCCTGTCAATCCCAAGCAAAATACTAAGCCGCATCATCCTGGAGAGAATCAAACAAGCCGACCTGGATGAAAAACTTCGACCGGAACAAGCTGGATTCAGGAGAAACAAGTCATGTATTGATCAAATCGCCACTCTACGGATCATCATTGAACAAAGCATGGAATGCCAGTCACTTAGCTCTCTATCTCAACTTCATCGACTTTGAGAAGGTCTTCGACAGCACAGCGTCGATCGAGAGGTGATTTGGAAACTACTTCGCTACTACCAAGGGGTGCCGCCGACAATTATAAATCTCATCCAACAGTTGTACGACAATGCTGCCTGACAAGTAATCCACAACGGGAAACTTACGGAATCCTTCGAAGAGAGGACTGGAGTAAGGCAAGGCTGTCTACTATCGCCAATGATTTTCCTGATTGCAGTAGATTCGATAATGCGACAGACAGCGGACAATGACGTAACAGGCATAAAATGAACCCACACAAAAAAACTTGGAGGATCTGAACTTCGCCGATGATACATGTCTAATTTCCCACAAATTAGAAGATATGCTAGTGAAAAGCAACAAGCTGGCAGAAAAAGCATCCAGAGAAGATGAACATAGAGAAAACAGAGGTGATGAAGATTCCTGGTCAATACCAACAGCAACAACAGCAGACAACAGTCAGAATGGATGGGAGGAATCTGAAAGAAACAACCTCCTTTACCTACCCATCTACCTGGGAAGCAGCGTTTCTACTACAGGCGGACGGAAGTGATAAGGATATCAAAGTGAGGATCGGGAAAGCAAGACAAGCTTTCATTACTCTCAAGTCTGTGTGGAGATCAACTGCACTCAGAATCAAAAATAACATCCGGATTTTCAAATTCAATGTCACGTCAGTCAGTGCTACTTACCACACGGATCAGAGACTTGGTGCGTCATAAAAAGCACTTCAAACAAACTACAGACCTTCATTAACAGTTGTCTTCACTCAGTACTCAAGATCAGATGGCCAGAAAAGATCAGCAATGGGGATCTCTGGCAATGAGCGAACCAACCCAGCAGGAACCGATTGTGAAACAAATAGGCAGGAAGAAATGGAGATGGATTGGCTGGCCATACACTGAGGAAACCAGCAGGTGAAATCACTAGACAAGCCATCTCTCGAGTGGAACCCGAAAGGGAAGCGGCGAGTTGGTCTTCAGTGTGAGGGTGACTTGGAGGAGGTCATATGAAAAGGAGAGGAAAGCGTGTGAGCAGACGTGGAGCGGGGTGAAAACGTTAGCAGAGAACCGAACGCCATGGAGACGTGTGGCTGAAGCCCTATGTTCCTCTAGAAATTAAAGGAAATAATAATAATAATACATAATAAGATTACCATTCACAACAATCGGTAATGCTGTTTAGGCAGATAGGTTATTGATTACACTAACCGGCGATTGGAGTGAACAACCAGTGCGGTGTTGAAATCATCACCATTTGACTATGTGTTAGTTTAAAGAGAGTTTTTCTTTTAGTGTTATAAGATGGTTGGAGACAATCGTCTGAAAGTCTTGTACTTGGTGTTTCGTGCTTTTTGGCACTCACCTGTCAGCAAAGCGTATCTGCAATCTTGAAGGATCTGACTTCCCGTCTGAGATTGGAACCTGTGTCACTGGGTGATGCAGTTAGAGATACCACCACTGAGCTAACCTGGTTTGAGACTGACTTCATTTGGGATTGCATTGGATACTTTGATTGAGCACTAGGTAGTAAGTAGCAGCGAGTATCGTGGCGATTGCCTCCATCCATCTGATAACTACAGTTCAGAGTGTTTTGTAATGACGAACCACCTAACATGGTGGCAATATTGCAAACTCGACTAGCAGAGTTCGATCTACACCAGACGAAGGACTAGACACGCATAACATTCGTTATTTAGTATCTAGTGTCCAGCTGGTTAATTTTATAAAATTCATTCTCAATCTGTTTAGGCGAAGTTAAACTTTAAGCACCACTAGCTTATCAATCAATGGAGTGCGACCGCACCCATGACCTTGAAACTCTCATTTAGCAAGCTAGTGAAACCTGACAAATAATGTTGTCATCATCAATAAAATATGCACATCGAAGTGTTATGCTATTAAACTAAATATCTGGAAAGTTTCAGCTTAGGTTTAGGAAAGATTAATATGCGCTTTAAGCCAAGGACAAGTCAGGGTTAGGGTTGGTTCAAGTTAGATTACAGTTAGTTTAGGAATATTTCCACTTTAGTGTTAGGTTCAAGAAAGATTAGAGCGAGGGTTAGGGTTAGAAGACCCAAATAATTACATGCATATAATGCGGTTAAATTACTCTGTTGATATAAGAATAGAACTTGTGCACTGCGGTGGTAGAGTATAGTTCCATTGTGGGTGAAATTTATTTTAATAAAGTCTCACGGCGCAATATTCACTGATGACGTTTCGAGCACATTTTATTGCTCAGTAAATATGACAATATGAGACTTTATCAAAATAAATTTTACCCACAATGGAATTATACTCTGTTGATACTCCAACCTAAAACTGAGAGCTATTTTTATCACATGTGAGAGCAAGGTATCCTGTGTAACTCTTTTCATTAATATATGTATTCAATACGTGAAAATGCCTCCTTCACGTGATTGGTGCGTTAGAGGTCATTCACTGATTGGTAGTTGGCGGTGCTTAAAGTTTAACTTTGCCTCTGTTTATAACTATCATAGTTGAATTAATTAATATTTACACAATTTTTCTTGTTTTAAATATGCTTTACCTTTTTTGTACAGATTTCATACAACCCGTTCTGGTAAACTCTATCTACACACTGATCTACGCTTAATATTTTCAAGAGATAAATTTGAATTTGATCCACGTGTTGCTACCTATGAACTGCGTTCATTTGTCGATGCACCATCGAATCCACGTTATTCACCTAAAAAATGGTCAACACGTCATACATCAACAAAACATCATCGGAAAACAATGAACACATCTGCCTCCTAGCCAGCTAGCTAGTTAGTTAGTCAGCTATCCAGCTGACTAGTTTGATTCCTCATTCATACATTTTCTTTTTGTCTCAATGCTGAAGCAAATTGAATTATTTGAGCAAAACTGCACAATGGCTGTTTTTATTGACCCCCCACCTCTTCTATTCAGAGGAACTATGATTCTCTTTTTAGTAATGTGAAAAGAGATTTCAAGAGTGATATAAACTAACTGCCTATTTTCTTAGACATACTTATACTTTACTTGTTTACTTATGTTTACTCGTTTGTTTGTTTATTTGTATGTTTATTGGTTTGTATGTATGTATGTATGTGTGCTCGTTTGTCTGTTTATTTATTATTTTGTTGGTTTGTTTAAATTATTTATTTTCCTACTGTGATACAACCATTTCCAATAAAGTATATTTTTGGGTTTCTCATACATTGAAGCGCATATATACATACATAGACGCATGCTTATGCACGCGTAGACATACATATACACACACACGCGCGTAAATGCCATTGCCTAATTTGCACATGTGTATTTGTGTTTGGTGGAGCCCCTTCTCTACCTGAAGAACATGTTAATTTTACAACCAAACTAACTGCCCAACTAAGTAACTAACTATCTGTGAAATAATGTCATAATGTCTTTCTATCTATCTATCTATACTTGTGCATATATTATTGTGGTTAGTTCATTCAAATGCGCGCCTTTGTGTTTGCATTAATTTACGATATACATATAAAATACGCATAAATACACCTATAATATGTCAGCTGCTGTAGAGAGAGAGAGAGAGAGAGAGAGACAGTAGCATAGCGAGTGTGTGTGTGTGTGGAAATTGACTATTTGCCTATAATTTAATCCTGGTGAAGACAGGAATTTTTCAATTTACAAAGAGTTATTGATGTGTACATATATATAATATATTAACATTATCTATCCCTGTGTCTCTTAGCTATCTTTTCTACCTTAACAACAGTAACTTACTTATTTAACCAATGGCTACACCATATTCCTATATTGAAATTCCATTTCAATGATTTTTCTGATCAGCTGATAAACGCGTCACACACATACTACTTACTAGTCAGTCATATTCATCTATGAAAAAAGCGATGTTGCCAGTACTTGCAGTGATAGTGTTTTTTCCCCTTGAAACTTCATTATTTTGCCTGCCTTTCTCTCTGTGATTTTCTTTTTGTTGTTGTAATTTCTAACTTTATGTCTGTGTGTGTGTATGTGTAAGGCCCACGTGGTCGGTCCACTTGTCTTTATAATAATATGTATATGGGGTTGTGCTCATAGTGGTGTTATTCTGTTGATGTCTTCAACAGGTAATTGTGATACACAGTATTCTGCCTTTTCAGTTCAGTTGGACGACGGCGGCGGCGGCAACGGAGTGTGTGTGTGTGTGGTGTAAATTCAACTAATGTTTATTCAATTCAATTCGATTTCTGCTTTTACTTTTAAGATGTGAATGCATGTATAAATGCTGGCAATCTGTTTACTTTTAAGCATGGTTTCTTGTTATTATTACTTATCTTTTTTCTTGAGTACGCTTGAGTCTGTCTATTTGAGCATAATTCAAGTTCTCTATCTCTCACTTTCTCTGTGTGTGTGTCTCTCTCTCTCCCTTCACATCTTTCTTTCTTTCTTCTCTTATCGAAAATTATACCAATTTTTCTACAATGCTCTTTAATGAGTATAGTATATGTTTTCACCTAGTGATTACTAATATTGTTACTACTATTTTGAATCATATCATTGATCATTTGAGCTGTTCACTAATGAATGAGTAGTCATTGATGATGAGTAGTATAGTTGTGTTCTCAGCATACACATTCAATTTGTTTGTTTTTTCCGTTTTGCATATTCTTTATTCTTGTTTCTTTCCTTTTTTTCTTTGAGTTCTACTCACACACATGCGTGCGCTCGCTCACACCTACCCACCCACACACTCTGTTGGAGTAGTCTTTCTTTCGATACCTGTTTTTGCACACACACACACACCCCTCATGTATCAAAGTGTGTGTGTGTGTTCGTCGGCCATTATTGTGAACTCAGAAACCGTTAGTGGAATCAGTCAAGACTAACACTAATGCGTGATCGCGTACTACCGACTGTTCTCATTGTTCTTCCTATTTGAAAGAAAAAAGCAACTTCATTTTTTAATTTTTAATATTTTGGTTTTTTTGTTTTGTTTTGTTATTATTTGCTGTATAATTCAATGCCTACCTTATTTACTATTATTATTATTATTATTATTACTAATCATGGCTGTCCCGTGGGGTGTGGGTTTACCCCTCTGTGCGTATATGTGTGCGTGTTTGTGTGTGGAAGAAAGTGCACTGATGACTGATCTGTGTTCAAATAGTATAGTTAGTTGTGTTGTGTCTGTGTGTAAGCACAACTAACTCACCTGCTGCATCTGTGTTCTTCGAGTGATTTACTTGTTTTTCTGATTTTTTCTTTCTTTGTGTTCTCTGTTTCTTTGTTGGTTTGTTCACCTATTTTAAAAACTTTCTTCTTCATCCCCCCCTCTCTCTCTCCAGGTTTTTGTTCTTTATATATAAAGAGGAGTAAAATAGCAGTAATATTGATGACGATAATAATAATAGTAATAACATTATTTAATAATAATTGTAATAATATTGAAAGAGAGCATATATATATATATATATATATATTCAGCTAAAATATAAATATACGCTTGTTGAAATTAAAATAAATGATTTTTTTAAAAAGTTATTTGATAGAACAATCATTCTAGTACACCTCCTTGTATTTATTTCTTTATTGGGACACGAACTTGATAGCAAGAGGTGTGTCACACAAAATTCCGCATGGTTTGTGCGAGAGCTGAGGCCAGAACAGGTGGTTGTCTTACGGGGGCTACCCTTTCTCCCTCCAGGCTTTGGTTTGAAGTTTGACCCACAAGACAGTAAAGCAACGTCAGAAGGGACGGGGACCAAAACAGGTTCATATGTCGTTTGATCTTTTCGAATTCTGAAGCTATGTGCACCGCTGGTTTAGATTCAGCGTTTTTTCATCTCCACCTTGACAGACTTACCCGCATGTCCGTCCACTGGTCCGGTTGTATCCTTGGTGTGTTTTGTGAATGTAAGAAAATGGTATATAGCTTCACAGTGGATGGTTAACTAACCAGTGTCATCTATTTACTCCTGATTGGTATTGCTCACTGAATTTTACTAGTCATATCCTCAGTGTGATCACCAAGTTTAGTGATTCGCCTTCTCAGTACACTTTACACTTACTTACTTTACTTTACTTCGGCTATCTCCTACGGGAGGATGAGCCGGTTTCATGAACATCTCGAATCATCGCTACCCAGGCGCGGCGATCTGATGCAAGGTTTTGCGACAGGGTTATCCAATTCTTGTTCCACAGACGGAGTCAGTAGACGGTTTATAGGCATATCATGACTGTACCAAGCCGTGTTTTCAGCTGTCCACCCCTGCGACATCGCCAAGATGGAAATGGAGAGAGATTTAGAACTGATTTGACCAGATCGTCATCTGCTCGGCGCAGAACATGGCCAAACCACCGAAGGCGACATTGTTGGACCAGTACTGGAATTTGGTTGATGTTGTAGAGAGTTCATGAAGTTTCATGGGAATTAGGCACGAGTGATGTCCCCAGCATCGCTCAGCCTTTTGTTTGAGAGTGCAGCTCTAGCCTTCACACAACCAAGCGTGACCTACAAGGCAGTAGGAGTGGAGTAGGGAGTCCACTATCCATTGGCAGCCGGTGACCGGAGTCCTGTTCATATGCCTTTTTGAATGGGGACAGACATCCAGGGCATCCAATAAGCCCTTTTTCCATACGTCTGCCGGTAAGCTTCATACGCCAGTCGTTGGAGGTTGGGAATCAGGGTTTAGCCATCTCCCCTAGACTGTCATCCAATGGACAGTTAACCCGGTGAAGAGCCCCGGGTATCCGCTTTTGCCCTCTCACTTCGGTGAAAAACACCTCCGCCACGTGAAGGCAGTGAGTAGGACTTCCTCAGGAGAGGCTATATAAGACGTCCGGTCATATGGGAGCATTTCAATAGGTGCACGGAGGGATGGCCAACCCACAGCGCAAGGCACCCACCCCCGACCATCCTGAGGCTTTGGAGGCTACACTTTACACTGATATTCGGTGGTTGAAAGTGTATAACACGAATTCCTAGAATCAGATCTCATGCCTGTCAGTACTTATCAGTAGGGCGTATTTTTTACCACAAAGAAGCTGATACTATCTGGAAGACTCGAACTTACGTTACCCAGTTCTTCAGTCAGGGATTTGTATTGTGTTGTTTTTTAATCAATTGTTTGGTGGTAAAATTGCAGTACGGATAACAAAATGTGTCATTCTACTTGCTAGGTAACCGACAAATTGTTCAGTTCCATCCCACTGCTATGAGACATTGTCACGGGAGTTCGGAGAAGTGAACCAGTGACTGACTCGTTTCAACATAGGAATTTGTACAGAAGTTCAAGTTACCCCACTCTATGAAGCACACAAAGGAAAACAAAAGAGAGAAAAAGAAGAGTAACATGTAGAATTGTAAAGGAGAAAGAGTAGAAACGTGGAAAGAATGAGGGCTTAGTGGACATTGAAAATCCCAAAGAATTAATGATTTTGAGCCATATCACGAATAATCACAAGCTCTTGGTCTTTACCATCCCGACGACCCCATTCAGTGTGGCATTCTACGCCTCCCTACGTGGCTTACACTAACTGTGATAGAGTTCATTGACTGGTGATATGTTTTGATTTGACAATCACTAGCTCTTTTCCGACCTGGTCCATCCTATACCAACTTACATTGCGTAACACATGTCCTAACCATCTCAGGTGATGTAACTCCACGACCTTATCGATTGACTTTCCCTCTCTACTCAGCACTCGATGCCCAACCTCAATATTGCTCACCCTGTTATACCATCTAACGCGGGAGGTAGAATGCAGACACTTATGATCAAAGATAACTAGCCTTTTCTTGTCTTTCATTAGCCATATCTCACAGCCATAAGGGAGAAGCAGTAAACACGTCGTTTGATAGATATCACATCTACGTCACAGATGACGTAACTTGGCGAATCCCACAGGAGTCTTTTGTATCCATGCTGAGATTTCGTCATCACTCAGTCTGTCGGGGCTGATGCAAATTCTCGAATACGTGAATTGGTCAACACGCCCTACCGATCAGTAACAGATAGCTATTTTTATTTTAATTACGAGTTCATAGTGAAATCATACACTGAATGGGATTTTAGGTTGGATATAAGGTTGCTAGATAGTAAAAGCAATTTAATTGATGAAATGTATTTAACAAGTGTTACTTATGTTTAACTGCTGACCTAGACTAGCAGCGCCATCCAAAGTAGGGTTAAGTTGAATTAAGACGGTTAGGTTCTTACGCAAGATAATATCATCAAACTATGAAATTGCTCATAGCTGATTTCGGTAATGTTGTCTGACTACTTAGTGTATTCGAAATGGGTTTAATTTTAATTCCTTCCCATTATATAGTTCATTCCTTGCCTTTTGAGTGAAGTTTGGAGCTTCAGGCTTTTAAAAATTTCAGCAGCAGCAGCGGTTTTGTTTTGACAGAGTGGGGTGGCTACCTTCACGCCCAACCTTCCGTGTTTCCTGGGCTTACTATAGGCTAGCAAATTAGTCGAGCTTGAGGAGTGTGTCAGCCCGGAACCGAATCTATACGTCTTTGGTATGCTAGACAGAAGCAACTTACGTTTCTAATGTTTCGTTATTGTCGTTTTATTTCGAATGCCGTCTACCGCAACTACATATTTTACGGAAGCATTAGGTAGAGTGTTCAACTGTCTCTCATCCACAAGGCAGTCTTACTATTTTCCATCTTTATATTGTTACATATCAATGTAATGTATAACTCGCTTTGAGTTGTATTCTCAGTGTAGAAGGAAGTCTACGTGTTATGATTTCTCCATCTGTTGAAATTAAAATACAATCAATATCAAGAGCAGGTGTAACCAGTTGTTATTTAAGTCAATTTATAGATACTGTAATCACTGAAGTATCAAGTGAGTAAGTAGCACTTACTGTAGCTGTTTTACTGTCAAAATTAGGGTGTGTTAAGAGGAATTATCGATCACTTTCGCGCGCTCCTCTTCTTCTATCTAAGCTTTAAAATCTTTTTAAAGCAAATGCACACCCCATTCTTCTTAGTCTATTATTATATTAGTATTCTTTCCTCGCGTTCGGAGTGGAGTATAGCGCTTCAGCCTCACATCTCCACTTCATTCTGTCCTATTCAGTCATTCTTAGCTGACTCCACATAATCCAGGAAACTTCGTCTCCTTCCGATATGATCTTTGTGTCACCGTCGGATGGACACCTATCTTGTCATTTATCATTCGCACCCCACTCGAGGACCTGTCTGGCATGTGATGTTACTCAACCATCTTGTCAACGTGTGTCCGGGCCATCTCTCCATTTTCTTCGGAATATTTGTTGGGCAATCGGTGGCTGGTTGGGTCGTTTTCGGAGTTCTTTGTCGCTGATCCTTTGTGGCCAGTAGAAAACACAGTTATCTGCAGCCACCAGCTGGGAATATTTCTGGTGACTCGTGAAGTCTCTCAAGCATATAAAACCCCTAACATTGGTGCTGAAAATCTGAATTTGGCTCGTTATGCTGATTGCAGCGGCTTTTCACTCTGATTTCAGATGAATGAAAGTTCTTCTCGCTTTTCTGATCATGGCCGGTTCTGACATCCTCACTTGTGATGCCTGTATTTGAAATGATGCAGCCTAGATTAGTGAAAAAGGTGAATTCTCTTAGATTTCTTCCCCCGATATTGATCGCTGCTTGAAATACTTATCCTTAGTAATTTTTATCATTAAAATACACTTTTTATTCGCATTCAAGTTGAAGACAGTCTTCACCAATACTGAATACAGTTCAAAAACACGCCCTACAATTAAGACACTGCTTATCGGAAATCTTTATTCGGGGAAAGTTTTAGGCAAAAATGAAACTAGTTTACGTCACCTAGGCAGTACACAAAAACTATAACGTTTTAAAGAAAAAGATTTGGGATGTATTGATTTCAGTCATCATACTCCCATTTAATTATTCAGTCATTTGCTGTTTATATTCTCTTGTCGACTTGAGGATAAAGTGTAGCAAAACTTATTGGTAATGAGTGCAAATACTTCATCTTCGCCTACTACGCTTTAATCGGTTCTACATCACCACTGTAAGCTACTAATTAAAGTTGACTTTAAACTCAATAGCTTGTCAAAATTAAATGCTATAAATCATACCAATGAAGAGTACGAATGAGCAGAAAGAGTTCGTGCTGGATGATGTTATACATTACCGATTAATTGATGTGAGTAGTATCTAGTAGTGAGGTGAGTCGTATCGGCTAAACCGCCAGTGAGCTGCGCCGCAAATGAGAGAAACAACCCTCCGGTGTGTTTAGATTACTTCGATCTGGCTAGTGAGTACTACTGATCGATGTCAGTAGTATACAGCTACTCATATCAACAAATCAATCAGTAGTATTTAATTGGTGGATGGTGACTAGGAGTGGAGTCCAGGATGCGCATTTCGTCCTGGTTGGGACTCGTCATCTGGACGTACCTTCATTTCGGTCCAATCAATCGACGGGAAAATCTAAAATTCAATTAAATCAGT